TTAAGTAATGTACATTTAATTCTAATGACTTCAGTACTAATAAAACAACATCTTTTGATTATTTTTTGCTTATATGGCTGTGGGTTTTATACTTAATATATAACATAGCAAATGCATCCATCCAGTTAAGTGATGCTTTGATCTCCAACTAAATAATATAGCTGTGTCCCTAGGCCCTCGGCATATTGGCAAAGCTTCTACTATCTTTTTAACTGGATAAAAAATACCTGTTCTATTATATATAATGATTTGCCACACCATCTGCACCCCTTGCTTCAAAATCCTAGATCCATCACATTGAGATGTGTCTCATTCACTGCTCCCCCGCTATCCACAAATCCCTATGGGCTATTCCTTATTATCTTCTTACCTGTTAGAGTCTAGGTGCTGAGATATCGGTGCGCTGAAGACTTGCTCCAGTATCTTCCCATGTATCAAGATAGGTAGGGACCTGCTGAATTCATGGCAGAAGTGGGGAGCGCTGTGGCTCCTTTAATCTTGCAGGTTCCCCCTTTCCCTCCTGCTGATTGGTGGAGGGACCCCACTTGTGGCTCACTCCTGATCAGTGAGGAGGCAAAAATATGGTTTTAAATATAGCACTGTTTTTGCCTCCTGCCGCTGATTGGCTGAGGGGCCCTGGACAGCCCTGCTGTTTGCTGCTGACTAGTGGGGAGGCAAAAATGGCGCCATGTTTCAAACCACGTTTTTAACTTCCCTGCCGACCAGGTGACGGCAAGGGGTGAGGTGCATGCAGGTGAACATGCAAGGTTAAAGGAGCCGCTACACACTCTACTTCTGCCGTGAATTTGGTAGGTCCCTAAAGATAGGGCTAACTAATCTGTATTTCCCTGGGGCCAGCTTTTTCCAGTTTTAAAGGATAGGCCCTACATTTGTCCTTTCCCAGTCTCCTAGGACATCACTTGACCTTTCTGCATAATAAAAGGAATAAGCAAATAATGAGATGTTTAAGATAAGATAATAATCAATGGTAATGCTGTCTTTGTCTGTAGTAGTAAGCTAATTAAGTAAGCCTGACTATCTAGAGTTTTCAACGTTTCTAACAGCAAACTTTGCATGTATTTGATGCAAAGCATAGGGTCACCAATCAGATACAGACAGTTAATCATATAGACACGGGGATATTTTTGGGTGCCACTTGGGCTGCCTTTAAAGGCATCTGTGTTCCAGAGAAGAAGTTAACTGTGTTAGTCTGAAGCCAGTCAGAAGACAGGGTAGATATGCACCTTTATAGACTAAATGATATAAATATAGATATAGATATAGATATATATAGAGAGAGAGAGCACAAGCTTTCATAAACTTAGGTTCACTTCATCAGATGCTGTGGAAGGACTTGGGAACATAAAACAGGTAGCATAATTTAAGCTAGTTTTGGTACATTTATAACGATACAAGCAGAAGGCAGGGTAGACTTGCATCTTACTGAATAACCAAATGTGTGCGTGGATATAGCACAAACTTTTGTGGCTGAAGCTCACTTTTCAGAGCTGTGAATGGAGCAGCTCTAGTCTGCCCTTTTTTCTGTCCTTTCACAGCATTTGATAAAGTGAATTCAACTTCACAAAAGCTTGTGCTCTCTATTCTCTGTTTAGTTAGTCAGATTAGCACAACCAACTACCTCTCGGCAGTGCTTATGAGAGGCAAACAAGCAAGCAGTGAACCCACAGGAACAGGGGGATCACCAGAGCTGATCCTTGTAATGGTTTCTTGTCCCAGGTAAGGGGATAAGGATCTCTAGTCCCTGCTTAAACCACACTTAACACCTTCCAGTCTATGGATGGTTTCTTGTTCTGCAGTGTCCCATTTATATCCAGTTTTAAATGTTTGCTGCCTGAGAGCAGCCAACCCTCAGGTCAGCAATGGAGGGTCCAGGGAGGTGAAAGTGTTCTGTCACAGGTGTTTCCTCATTCTTTTATTTAGCGATCATGACTGATTACAGAAAATAGATCTAGATTATATCTAATCTACTTGGGTGTTGGACTAAATGACCCCCCGAGGTCCCTTCCAGTCCTATTTCTCTAATGTTCATGCTTTGTAACTCTGATTTGATCTTTTTTTTTTTTTTTAAATACGACATTTATTTTCTCCTCTACATTTCTAATGGTATTTTGCCATTATTTGATGGACAATAATATATAGACTTCCCCTTCATCATTCATTGTCCATTTTTTCATGAGCAGAAACATCAGTGTTGTTGCTTTGTAAATATCTGCTCTTGAATACTGTGCCCACATCTTAAAAAGGAGATAGAAGACATAGAGAAGATCCAGAGAAGGTAACAAGGATAAAGAATGACACGGAGAGGCTTCCCTATGCGGGTTTACAAAATACTAAGTGGCTACTATGTGAAAGGGATTTATTATTTGCTCCCTTTCATAGTGCAAGAACTAGGGGCACAAAATGCAAGAAGCAGGTAGTAAGTTTAAAACTAACTAAAGGAAATTATTTTTCACCCAGTGTGTCATTAAAGGGTGGAACTCATTGCCACAAGATGCAGTGGAAGCTAACAGTTAAACCAGATCAAAAAAGGGATAGGACACGTCCTTGGAGTATGGGAGTGAGTGGAACAGCCTCTGAATCAGCCCAACCTTAAATGCTACAGGTTACAAGTGAGATCATAACAATGGAAAAAACCCACTTGCATTTTCACAGAGCAGCCTTTTACAAACTTTTTTCCACCTGGCAGAGCTCTTACCATCTCTAATTTCTCCTTCTCCTGATGAGGCTTCTTTTCTACCTGGGAGAACTTTTACTATCTTTAACTTCTCCTTTGCCTGATGAAGGGAGTGTGAGCTCCAAAACTTGAAAGTAAACAATTTTTTTGCAAATATTTAGTTGGTTTGATAAAAGATAGCACCTCTACTCAAAGAGTTTTGTCTGCCTATGTCCTTAGACCAAGACAGCTACAACCAGCGTCCCTGCTCAGACCCAGGTCCAGCCTCAACTCTCTGCGGCTGTGTGACACAGGATACCGGTCTGACCTGATACATGGCAGTTATGTTCCTGTGAACGTTGCTTGCAGGTTACCTCCTTTTTAGTAACCCTTCCTTCACTTATCTGCATCATCTGGAGGACATAAAAGAGCAGAAAAAACATGAGAGAAGCAATTTGGGGGAGGGAGGGGGATGATCCCTTAACTGGACCCACTGTAGAGTTGAGAGTGATGTTAGACAAACTTTGAGGAATGTTTTGTTTGATGTCTCTCCCAACTATACAGCTGGTCCAAAAAAAAAACAGATATCCCCCCCATCCCCAAACTTGCTTCTCACACATTCCCTGAATCATCATACCTACAGCAATACTCCTAGTCTATAGATAAAGCACTGCAGGGATTGGAAACACTAAGAAATGGTGAGAAAATACAGGTTTATTGTCATCAGACAGTACACCACTTGGTCTGATTAACAGTCAGTCCAACTTTGATGTGACAGTTAAATAACTTATGCACAAAATAACTTTACCAGCAGTAAAAACCATGTTACTTTAGACTGTAATGACCTCCAGGACCATGGTCTTCTCTGCACATTGATTTTCTGAAGCCTCTTCCAAAACCAAGAGAGAAAACAAATATGGTATTAATGATAGATCTGTTTCCTAAGATGACAGAGGCTTTCCCTAAAGCATACCAAGCTTGAGCTGTCTTTCTCCTACAGTGCAATGCTGGCAGAATAGGTAATTTTCCTTTGGGGTTTATAAGCAAAATTAGAATTAGATCAGGAGTTCTGATTGAAATATGGCTAAACTTAGCTCATGTGTAAAAGTAAATATTCCTTTGGTATATTCCTTCATAGATGTTGTTGTTCTGAGATGTTGTTGTACCTGGTTGTCTTGGGTGGTATCTGGTTGCTGTCACTTTTGATATGCAGCCTAATGAAGTCTGTATGTTCTGGAAGGCTGACACTAGCAAGCTGTCCTTCAGGTCTCGAAGGCAATGCAGCTCAGATACGTGTTTGGTGGGTAAAGCTCAGAAACGTTTATTGTCATCGGACAGCACACCACTTGGTCTGATTAACAGCCAGTCCAACTTAGTGAAGCTTGTCCCTGACTGGTAGAGACACCACATATTATTCATGTTTCCCCTAGGTCTCTAGGAGAGACAGGTCTCCCAGCACCTGTATTTATACTTGCATACTCCCTGCTCATCTTTATTTGTTTTGTTTGCCAAGTTCACACACCGGCACTCTCATTAGGAAGTCCTACCTTTTACATTTGTAGCTGCTGTTTCCATGCTCCTTTCAATGTCTTTTTGCTGGTTACTGTGTATTTGTATTTTTTTTCTTACCGAGTCATCCAGCACTTAGGAGGCCCCTTTCTCCCATGCTATTTTTCAACACCATAGCTTACTATAGCTTAGTATAACTATACCCAACACAGCTTGAGCTCCTACAGATATGAGAGCATTTTGTCCAGAAAGGGCTAGAGATTGCAGGCTGGTCTGCTTCCAGCCACCTGGTATTCTTCAAACTATATAGCTTCAGCACTCGGATGGGGTGGTTTGTTCTGTGTCCATTTAAATGAGAGGAGACAGAGAAAATAGAAATATATTTTGAACAGCAGAGAGCAGAATAAGTTACTCGTCCTTGCCCTAGAGCAGATGCACACTGTTTATAATATGCATGATATTAGATAATGAAAAATTAAAATTACAGTAGTCAAAAAGGCAAGAGAAAATAATGTGGGAAAGAAGGGAGCTTAATTGACTTTAGGCAAATGAAACATTGGCATTGCCCTCAGTTCCAGAAGTGTCAGATATATGGAGAGATGAGAAACAAAAGGACACAGGAAACAAATGATATAAAGCATGTTCACAGTACTGTTAGTACAAGAGCAATTTCAGGAAACACAAAAGTGAGAACCCATTAGCTGTAAAGAAAGCAAACATAGAGAGGGTCATAGCGCATACATTGGCTTCCAAAAGGCTGAAATGAAGAGGCCAAAGCAATAACCTGACATATTTCAATAGAAAATCTCAAACAGACCTGGAAGTAGAAGTTGGGAGTTGCAATCCTTTGCTTTAATCGCTACACCACTCTTCTGCCCAGAGCTAGGCTCTAACCATTGGACCCTGCCTCTTCCCAGGCTCTGAAATAGAGCTGAAGGGTTAGGATCCGCTTACTTGATGTTTAAGCGACCTTAACCACCAAAGACAAACCACCAAAGACCTTAAACACCAAAGACAAACTCATAGTCAAACATTTTGCTATACGTAGAAGCAGCTAACCACATATTGTTCTAACCACAACTAACGACTTACCAGAAGTTTCAAGTAACAGACTTTTATTCTAAGTTGACTCAGGCAGACTCAAAACGGGTTTCACACTTTTCACGGTAAACATATTTTCTGCATATGTAGGCACAGAATGACAGAGACAGAATTTTTAGCAACTTTTTTCCCCCTTTTTATTTACGACAGGGTCTGATCTACTAGTACATTTCCTTCCTGCAGCACTGGCAGTTCTGTCCAAAGTTGTTTGCAGAAACTAGGCACATACCTTTCAGTATAAAACCAGCTCCAAGACATGTAATGAAGTTATCAAGAATCATTAAGACTCAATAGCTATTTTTAAGAAAGCAAACCCTTACACTTATGGTTATATTTGTAAAGGCCTATTTGTTTGCAAGTTTGCAAAAAAAAAAAAAAATCACAGGAATTAACAACACTGCATGATTTGGCATGACTTCAAATGTTCAAATGATATGGAACCACTTTTTTAGCATGCTTATACATGGAAAAACTGTCTGTTAAAAAAAAAAAAGCACAGCACAAGCTGCCTGAAACAAAGCACACTGGAAACCTATGGCACCAACCATTATAATTCAGGGTCCCTAAGAAACATGATAATAGTTTTAACCTTTTTTTCAAATTGAGTAAAAAATCTTTAAATGTAGACATTAGAGCCAAACTAGGGGAAAGACACATCATCTAGCAGTAACATAGTTTTGTTTCAGGTTTTCTTTGCTGATTTTGATACTGATAGGGAAAATTCCATGACTAAATTGTACTGATAAGTCATCAATGCAATTTAGTCATGAAAATTCCCCTATTAGCAGGGATCCTGTTTCTCTGTTTAAAAATTCTGTGATTACCACCCCCTCCCCAAATCCGTTTTTTCCCATGATTAAAATGAAATGCCACTATATATATAGGTATCAGTTGAACACAATGTTTTATTGATATTGTGAGTGGATGGGTCCCCTTGCCTCCCTTTGTCATGTTGCAATCACCAGGACCTCTGTCTTATCTTCCCCCTTTCACCCACCATGCCTTGGTGTTATAATGTTTAGGGGGATGGATGGTACTTTGAACATCAGTCCATGTAACAGCGGGGCCAGTCTTCCACAGGGCTCCACCTTGCCTACACCCTGCCCCTTTCCTCTTAGGCACTGGAACATTAATCTCTGCTGACACTGAGTGCAAGTTGCTGGACCTAGATTCCTCTCAAACTTGGTTTAGTTCCTTGCTCTGCAACTTACCAGTATCTATTTCCTCTGGTCAAATCTCCTTCTTCGAGTTTAGTTGGTCAGGTTTACACTTTGCTCGCCTTATTTTCTCCCTCTCTCCAACTCCCTTCGTTGTCACCTCCGACTCCTCCTTCACAAGGCTCTATGTTTTGGTGATTATCGCTGGGTTGACCTGTCTCATGTGGTTTGGTCTTTCCCAGCTTTGCTTCAGGCCTAGCAGACTAAACTGCTTCACAGGGTCCAGGTGCATGGATTAGGACCCAGTTAACAATAACTCAAATGCAAAGGGGATCCTTTTCCCCAGCTGTCCCTCCTTTACCCAGGAGTACTAAACAACAACAACAAAAAGGGAACAGATACTTGTCTACCACTTCTGTGGTCCACACTCCCAAATACACAAAAGAAAAGTTCTGATCCCCCTGGTTCCCTCCAAATTCAAAGGTCCAGCCAGGCTCACATAACTGGTTTGAACCTTGCTGCTGTTCTCTCTGTTGGACACGACAAATACCTCCTTTGTCTGGACCATCTCTGCTTCCCTTGAGGCTACCCCCAGATTGGTGGATCTGCTCTTACCCTCTTCCCAGGTTGGCTTGGCCACCTGTCTTCTGGGGAATTCCCGCTTGCTTGTCCCTTACTCTCCAGCTTGTGGGGGTCAGCAAATACTACCCCACTGTCCATTGTCACTTATTTATCTGGATGCACCATGGTTGTCCTTTGCTTGTGATCATTGGTGTTGTGGTGTCCCACAAGGAATCAGCTGGCTGGGTCCCCAGTTCTGCTGGCTGTTTTCCTGGTCCAGCTGCACAGCCTTTGTTCCTTGAAATGCCAAACACCATGCTTCTTTCAACATCTTTCTTTAAGCAGCTTGGGCTTCCTCCCAGACCAATCAGCACCAGCTTCCTGGGACACGTGTTCTTTGGTCCCTAGTGTCTGTGTGCCACTCCAGTTTCCCTGAGCCTCTATGGTGCACCAGGGAAGTGCTGCTCACCTGCACCTGGCCAGGTGAGTTTCCCACTGGCACTGCGGGTCCCATGTGTGTATAGCAGGGGCTGTGTCTCAGCCACTGTTACAGATATATTTACAATTTTAAAGCAATTTAGAAGCCTACCAGTGCCTCAGTCACTATAATAAAATAATTCTAAATACCTTTACATTTTTATGTTTGATTTTGAGTTTTTTATCATAGAAAATCAGAGTTCCCCCTGCCCCCTTTGCTCACCAGGATACGGGTTCCAGCTGTGACTGTCCCCCCTCCCCCCTCTACCACTGCTTTGTGGTACTGAGCAATCCTGAAATGCTGGTTCCCTTCCCATGCCATTTCCCCTCGCTCCCAATCCACATCCCTCTGGGCCCTTCAGTGAATTCATGAATGCATGCATGAATGAATGGATGAATGAGTATGCATGGGAATAAGTGAAGCAAATAACCTTAGTGCTCTTTATTTTTTTACGTTGCATGTTTTATGTCTTATGTTCCAATAAATGTGGTGTTGTGCCTTATCCTTTGATAAAATTCTGGCTTGATTTTAATTCACATTGTACGCCCTGTGTGCACAACACACACGGCTCCTGTCACTCCAGCTGTCCACTCTCTGAGGGCTTCCTTTCAGCTCTCTGCCCCAATTTATCTTCTGGCTCCTCCCCTGGGAGCCAATATACCTGGCTTGGATTTCACTTACTTTCCCGCTGTGGCCCTGATGGAACTTCATTGGGAACAGCTGGGCTCCCGGTGCACTATACTGTCCTGCTTTTCCTGCTGTGACTCCAGTGTGAGTATGCTTTATTCCCTCTAGTAACAGGCATTACCTCAGGTGTTCTATCACCCCATCCTTGTTCTGTGCAAGTGTGTGAAGTGTAATCTTGTCATCACAAACATCATCTTCAGGCACAGACAAGACAACCTCTAGACACCCTCATGCTAAGCACTGGCATTTCCTTGGCTAAGTTATTGTTATTGATCGAATGGATGTCTGTGTGGCAGAAAGGCCACTGTCTGTGTCCCTCTCCAGAAATCTGTCTCTGCCAGCGTGAGAGGCTGATGTTGAATCCCTCAGGGTGGGGGATCTTCCTCCCTGCTCACATGACAGGGGCCTGGTGCCTCGGGTGTGGATGCTCTGGTCACCTGGGGAGGGAAAAGCCCCGCTCACTGGCACAGGTAGCCAGTGATGGTTTTTTAGATTGGTTGGCTAGTGGCCAGCACTGGCAGCTTCGATTGGACCGGGCTACTGAGGTCAGAGAAGTTACTTAAAGGCCCGGGCCAGGAAGAAGGGAAGCCATTATCCATGCGGTCATCCAGCTGAATCTGAAACTGGCTCTCTCCTCATAACCACATGCTCAAAGAATGTCCTGCCTCCAGAGGGAAACTCCAGCCACCTCTGGATGATGCGAGTGAGTAAGCTACTCGAGATCCAACTAGATATTTGGCTTACAGTAACTCAGATGCCTGTTTAAACGGCTACCTCAGCCATCCTAGTTTGCTCTATGGGATTCCTCTTATATTCCTCTGATAGGGCTCTACCTTTTACCCTGTTTCCACCCTACCCCCTGTAACCAATAAAGTTCTCCTTTGTGACCGGTGTGGGAGACTTATTGAGGGGTGGGTCTAAATTATGCCAAGGAGGCCCCTTAGGTCGGTGGACTAAGGGAGACTTTTTCTAATAAGCCCCTGACTTGGGGAAGTGGCCCAAGTGTCTGTATTGGGTCTAGTACGTATTGGACGATCAGGCCTGCGTTTTCCAAGGTGTGCAGAGCCAGAAGTGAGTCCAGAGCCTTGGATGGTGGCAGCGGGAACCCCAGGCTAGCGGGTGTGCTCCAGGGAAGGGGTCGGCCGGCCATGAGGTACCCCAGGGAGGCACTCGGAGCCTGGAAGGTGGAAGGTGCAGTGAGGTGGGCGGCTCAACGCAGGAGCGCCCCCTACTGGCCCGCCACACATGGTGGCAGTGGTGGGATCTGAATATCCTACTGTACTGGAGGAATAATTTGGGGAAAGGAATAGAGTCACTGAAATCCCTTGAGCAAACAATTTCTAATTTGCCATCGGGTCAACTGGATAGTGTAGATAGTCAGGATGGGGGACGAGTATGTCTGGATGACCGTGCCTGAACTGAAAGAATTGGCAAAAGAGAGAGGCCTTCATGTGAAGAAAGGGCTAAAGAAGGAAGAGCTGGTTAAACTCTTGTGCACCAGAGAGTCAGACCAAGCTGATGCACAGCTAACTTCCTGCCCTTTGGGCAGGGGGCTGGACTCGATGATCTTCCGAGGTCCCTTCCAGCCCTAATGTCTATGAAATCTATGAAATCTATGAAGTGCCAGCTTCACACTCGTCAAGTCCTGAGTCCAACCCAGGAACACACTCCCGCTCGTCAAGCCCGGAGGCCGCTGAGAGATCACCCTCTGAGGGGGAGCGGCAGAGACTCCATGAGCTGGAGTTAAAAAGGCTGCAGCTGGAGGAGAAAAAGCTGGAAGCACAACGCGAGAAGGAACAATGACAGCTAGAAGCAAAAAGGATGGAGCTGGAAGCCCAGCGTGAGAGGGAACAACAACAGCTGGAGGAGAAGAGGATGGATATGGAAGCCCAGCTGGAGGCAAAAAAGCTGAAGCT